ACTCTTAAGATAAAGTAATGCCTTTTAATTAATATAATTCCAATAGATTGTATTTACAAGTAGAATACGTCCAATCAGATTGGAACGCCGGGTATACTACTCTAACACCCGCGAGCCAAATGGGGTGGGCCAAATAGGCCCGCGATTGAACAGGCTAGCCAAGCAAAGGCCCAAGCCCGTCCATTTAGGCGGGCGGACGGGCCAGCCCGCAGGCCATGGCCCGTTTTGACAGTGCTAAATATACCTTGGGAAATTTTTAAGTCTCCTACATGAAATTGAAAATATTACAATTATACCTTTCATAAACAAATATAATTGTAACTATACCTAAATAAAGAACATTTACTGCATATTAACCTAAAAGCCAGTTACATTTAAGGGTGGACCTCAATCCCATATTTTCCGCACGATTTGGGGGTACCTGCCTATAAAAACGTACCTAATGTATATGGAATGAAAATCAGAGAATGATAAACGGTTCTACGTATCCATATTTTTTGCATTATTTTATGAGGTATATGTGCAGTATATTTTTGGTATTTGTTCATAAAAATAAATTATGTAGTTTTTAATATTTTAGTTTATGTTCAGTAGTTTAGTTTTATGTGTGCAGTACAAGTATATTTTTTGTTTATGTTCAGTATATTTTATCTTTATGTTCAATTTATTTAGGATTTATGTTCAACAATATATTGTTTGGTTTATGTGCAGTATGTATATTTCACTAATCACTCACGGTTTTGGAGTATATTTCACGTCACAGAGAATGTATATGTGCAGTATATTTTGGTATTTGTTCATAGAAATAAATTATGTAGTTTTAATATGTTTGGTTTATGTTCAACAATTTATTTTTATATGTGCAGTGCAAGTATATTTTCGGTTTATGTTCAGTATATTTTATCTTTATGTTCAACAATATATTGTTTGGTTTAAGATAGAAATGACTAAAAAAAATCTACCAGACGTAATATAAAAAAGAATTACAACAAAAAGGTATTGCATATACCAAATATATAGCAGAAATAAACCATTGGATAATAAAAAAACGATAACAAAAAGGTATCGCATATACCAGACGTAACATAAAAAAAAAACGACAACAAAAGGTATCGCATATACCAAACATATACTGTACATATATTGTACATATACTCCAATCCAATTTCTTACCCAATGACTAGTAAAAAAAATCAAAATAAAATAATATTGACAAAAACCAATTGAATTGAAAACAACAATACACAAAGCTCTAAATTCGAATAGGCTATATAAACAAATTAATATAAAAAATCAAATCCCCAAAGCTGTCACACAACGTAATCAAAACGAAATAAAAATATACCCTAAAAATTTTTCACGAACTCGTCGACGTCGTCTTCTTCATCATTGGGCGCCGGTTTCCTTTCATCCTCAGTTTGGTCCGCATCTTGCATAAAAAATCAGAACATGATTGCCCATAAAAAATGTCTGATTGCTTTCCTGTCTTGATTATAGCAGCATGGAGTGAGATCCAATTTCTCAAAGAGAGTTGTGTATACAACTTTGCTAATTTGTGTATATAAACAGAGGAAAAAAAATAACTAACAAGCAGTGGGTTGTCGGTCTTTGATCGATCATTAAAAAATAGAGAAAAAATTTAACTGTAGGGGAAGAGAAAATATAAACGTAAAGTTGTTGAAGAAGAATAGAGGGAGAGGGAGAGGGAGAGGGAGATGGAGAGTCGAAAAGAGGGGAGAGAGAGAAAGTGTCCTACATATTTAGGTAAGTACAGATTTAATTTCAATTAAAGATCTGATTAGTATTTAATATGGTAGAAAAAAAAAGGTATAATGGTTACATCTTATATTTAGGTATAATTGAAATATTTTTACCTTGTTTAGGTAATTTTATAAATAAAAATATAAAGGATACGTAAATGTAATAAAAATCACAACTTAAAGAAGGGGTGCAAATTCTTCAAGATTTTTTACGGATTAAAATGGTGTATTAATCCAACCCAAATAGTCTTATCTGCTAGATAAAAAAATTAATGGGCCTGACCCATTGCGACGAATAAACTTAATGGGCCTATCCAATCTTGTCGCCTGGTGTCTTCTCCTTCCTCTTCCCTCGTTACCCGGTAGCGCCTCCTAATCAAATCGCGCTGCTCACTCTCAGAGTCTCGGGTTCATTCAACAAAACCCTAATTGAAGAGTGAGTTATTTGATAATTTTTCCGCTCAGTTTTACCGATTACGGTTGAATTTTCACAGATAAATTTTCACAGATACACATGGATGTGGCGGCCGAGACATCGTACAAGCCACCGGCGGGTTTCGTGGAGGATAAAAGGGACCCACTCGTCGACCTCGAATTGACAGACTCGACTGAGCTATGGCTTATTCAGTGGCCAATCAATCAAGTACTTTTTTTTTCCCCTACAAAAATGTCATCTTTTTGTTTGTAAATTGAGTAATTATCTCGCTGATTAGTAGCTCTATGTCTGTAAATTGATGAAGGAGTTTAAATGTGTTGCAGCCTCCTGATTTCGATGGGCAAACGGTGTCGTTGAAGCTTGGCGGGGATGGGCACATGGGCACCTTGGAGGGATCTTCTGGTAAATTTGTTGTGGTCTTGTGGCGTATTTGGTTGTATTTCTGGTTTGCTGTTAGAATCTGCTCGTTCAATGATACTTTTTGGGTAACCTTGGCAGGAAAATCATATGAAATGGTTGGTTGTAAGACCAATGGTCCAGAGGCTAATGTCTTCTTAACTTCAACAGCGGAGGCCAAAATCGGTATCTCTTGCTCTTCTCTCTTGCATTTACCTGTTTCTTTCCTCGGTCATTTGTTGGTATTTTGATTAACCATAGTTAATACCATTTGCAATTATCATGGAACTATGCTAGTTCATAATAGAACTCTATTTAGATACTGAAGTATAGATATCAGTGAATGTGAGTTGTCCAGCCTTTGAGTATTGTGATTATTTCCTGAGGAAGTTCGAGATTTCTTTCTCGCTAGTATATGCTATACTTTCTTTTGAAATTATAACCTTGAGTGAATCTTGGGAGCATATTTCTATCTTCGTGAGTTAAATTTTAAGGTTTAACTGTGTGCTCATGTCGTGAAGATATTTTCTAACTGTTCTGTACGATCATATTCTATATTTTCACTTTTCTCTTTTCAAAGGGTATTACATTATTTTATTCTTTTCCATTTCGAAATACTAAACCTCGAAGAGTATTTTCCTACTTAGATCGGTGAATAGATCCAGTGTTATGCTATTTATGTACTATTTTCAAGAAAACAAGCCAGCATCCCACAACGGAGTATATGTAATTTCAAATCGTCAGTTTTAATGTTTGTTCTTTTGCTTAGGTTAGACATCTTGAAAAGTTTTTGTTATTAGCATGAACATTTGAGGTTAACTGCTGTAAATCATAATGGCAGCTGGGAAAATCTCTAGGCGCATTTCCCTTATCCATTATCCGGAGCCTGGCGAATTATTAAAGCGTAATAGCCTTAGTATGGGCCTTTCCCAGCGGTCTTCTGGGGCCACCTCGACCTTGTCCGGCTGGCGACTCCCGACTCCCTCTCACACCTTTAAGCCCACAAAATCTAAAATCAGCGGCTATTCTACTCCGAGCAGCAGAAGCAAGAGTTCGGGCTCTGGATTAGGAGAATCTTCAAAGCCTGCAAAGAGAAAACGGGCTGATGAGCAGAGCAAGCCCTCCAGCAACTCGGCCCAAGATTCGGGGAAAGGAAATAGTGGAGTTATTTCTACTGGCTCTGTGGAGCAGCATTCTCAGGAAAGGAAGTCCAAGAAGAAGAAGAAAAACGAAGATTGAGCTTTTTGTGTTGTGAGGGGACCAAATTTTGCGTGGGGAAAGTGCAATTGTTGGATTTGAGCTTTTTGGGTGTTGATTGATTTTGTTTCTAGGTCATTAATTGTTTGAAGGAATGGTCAGATAATTTTTGTTCTCGTTGTTTTCAGTTAAGAGAATTCCTAGCAGTTTGTCAACTCGTTTTGGATAAAATTCGAGATGGATTTGCTCGTCGCAGAAAATCCATTGCCTTTTGTAAAAGTTTTGCCCAATAAGGTGTCGAAATAAATTTAGTTGCTTGAAAAGCTAGTTTAGGAGCTCGAGTAATGTTGGAGCTTCCTATTTTTATTGTTTATTCCAGAATTAAAGGAAAACAGAAGTAGATTTACAAGTTCTGGACGAACATAAGGATAAACGAGAGGTCTTTTTATTCAGCTATGCCTTCTTAGTTGCAGAAATATATACCAAATGAATTAAACAGCATCTGTCAAAAGACTCGAAACCAAAACCCATCAAGTGAAATAGCAAAAACAATTATGTGAGAACTTTCAAGATATCCTGTGTCGGATCGTCGTCTGTACACAGCTGAAATAATACAATTCCTAATACCCCAAATGTAGTCAGCCCGTTAAATCGTCACATGTAATTAGCTGTAGAACTCAAACTCCTCAAACTGAACCACCCATTTTTTCCTTCACTTTCAACTCTTTCCCAACAAATCAAACGAAACAAAAATTCAAATCTAGAATCACTACTTGACTAACCTAAACCCGATTTAGTCCCAGATAATGATGGCCTGAGCATTGGATGATGACCAAGCGATTGCTGAGAATTCGAAGGAGAACCAAACATGGCATTAGAGGTTGTTGATGGGGGTGGGTGTATAGCCGAAAGGGGTAGCCTCGGGCCAAGCCCGTACATCATCGCCATTTGGGGATTCATTTGCTGGCTATTGCCATATCCAGAGAGAAAAGACGGTTGAGGACCTGGAACTTGTCTAATATTTCCAGAAGTATTGTTATGTATCATAAGATTGCTAATGCCAGGTTGGCTTGTTGGTTGGGCTAATCCACTACTGGATCCAAACTGGGCTGACATCATGAGGGCCCGCTCAGCGGCAATCCTCTGTCTTGTTCTTTCCATCTGTTCGCACTCTTTCATTAACATGGTCTCGATTTCTGCAAACTGCTTCAGCTTCAGCTCTAATCTCTTTAACTGAAAAAGGTGAAAAGAAATCATGTTAAGCACTAACTTAACTAAAACATAGAAAGCCAGGTCAATGTTCGAATCCCATTTATGGGTACAAAGATAGAGAAAATCCACAACATTGTAAAGTTTGTAACTCACATCACTAGCTTTTCTTGGTAAATATAATATGACCAAATCCAGACTAATTTAACTAATAACTCTGGCATATACATCGCACTTGACATTAGGCAGCTCCGTTCATGGACACCATGGAGCTAAAAATATGGTAAAGATATGAAAAGGCTAAAAATATAGTAAAGATATGAAAAAAAGAATATCAGAACAGTGAGTTTATAGAACTCCACGGCATACGCAAAAAATAACCACATATTTTAACTAGTATTTTCAGATCGGCAAAAACACACATAACAACCTGATGATTTACGATATTAGCAGATAATCGTTGGATTTCACGCTCTTCGTGATCAGCAAAAAGCTTCGCCTTCAATGCTGCAGCAACAAGACCGTCTTTTGCTGCAGCTATCACCTTTTCAGTTGATAATTGAACACCTTCAGTATCATGTTGGCTCTGAGGACCTTAAGAGAGCCAACCAGAGATGCATAGAAAAAAATAAATAAATAAATCAGAAGATGATATCTTCAGGAAACAAAAAAGAAAGGAAAAAAGGAGGAGAAAAAAACTATTACATACCATTTTTCCTCAATCTAGTATTTCCTCCATTAGAACTTTCTTCTTTGTCAGTATCTTTAGAAAGTGAAGCCAAGGATGCATGGGCACAGGCAGCAGCCACCCTTGGCCCTAGCACGGATGCCAGAAAAGCTACCTGTAAACAAAATTGGATGGATTTCATGAGTAACATTTACATAATGCGGTAATACATGGAAGTTCCTAGCTTCAAAGGAAGGGATACAGTTGAACGAGGCTTAGTTAAAGAATGAACAAATAGAAGCTTCAGCAAGAAGTGTAGTTGTATTATCTTTACGGCTGAAACTTACATGAACGTGTAACTGTTCAGATTCAGTCACATAACTATGACATGATATTTTTTCTAAATAACTCTTCCCAGAAAATGAGTTCTGGCAAAGCAATGCAATTATAGGTGAGAGATTGCATAGTTACATACATAATCTGTTTTTAGGGTTCTTAGAAGAGAAGTATATTCACCTATTTAAGAAACCTCCAAGCAAAAAGAGGAACGCAAAGAACAGTTATAGATGGTTATTGGAGGTTAAACTAATCTACCAATTTTTTAATGATAAAATGGAATCGGCAAACAAACAAGGTGGTCCTGCCTGTGAGGAAGAAAACCTACATGCAGCTCGACAGAGAGAATTAATGTTTAGGACAGAAAAAATAGTACGATATAAACTACAAAAGAAGAAACGCTAGATAAACAGTACCAGGGACATCACTGGATTTTCACAATCTGAGAAAGGGAAATTGCTTTTTGTATCATCCCCTGGCAAGCAGTAACCTGCATCATGAATAAATTCCAAAATGTTAATTTGTGGGATTTCCTCAGCATAGAAAAATAGTTAAAAGAATCTCGATAATAACGCCAACCATTTGAATCTGGCTCCGTCCTATCATGGTCATCATGGCTCCACAACTTTGACGAACCAGAAGTGCTTGGAACATCGATATTTTCCAACACAACACCATCTACAGGAAGACTGACGAAATGAACTATGCACTGTGCTTTGGATTTTGAGCCAACATGCTCTGCAATTTTGTTCCAGTTTTCGTTGTACAACTGTATTCCCTCGAGCAGCAGTAACGTTTCCTGGTCACTCCAACTATCTCCATCTGTGCCCCCATAATCCTTCAGGGAGTTTTCTTTAGCAAAATCCAGGCTAGAATGACCAGCAACAAATCCTCCCTCATGATAGCAATCGGGACACAGCCACACATCGACCTAACAAAGCCACATGCAACATTAAATAGCACCCATTGGTCTTTCATTCTCCCATAACATGCAGTTTTCCAGTGTGTTACACTTGTACGATTATTGAATCCTCAGGAACCGGGAGTAGTAAGAGTTCACAAATAAATACCTAGTCCCCTGGCTACAGTGACTAGTTAGATAAAACCAAATTTAAAGTCTATTACATGCAAATTCTTTCGTGGATTTCCAAACCTGATCAGACCAGGTAATGCATGAGTCATATACTGATATGCATGCCAAACTAGGATACACATATATTAATAAGGTGCTTCAAACTCACGAATATTTCACCTAGCTGTCACATGACTCATACAGCGTGCCATTGATCCATATGAATCACAGAAATACATGGTTAAGGCATGCAAACTTAAGTCTGGCAAATGCTGTTATTTATTGTAGCCATGGTAGTTCCAATGCAACACAGCAGTTCAGATATGAATTCATGGATAAGTATACCTGAATATGCAGAAACAAGGCCACAAACAATAAGATGCAAAAATAAAACAAATCCATAGAAAAAAGAGCTGATTATCTAAAATTGTCATTTACCTCCTTCTGAGACTGATAGTAAACAGTAGGAATAGATCGAAAACAACAACTGCATCGAAAATCAGATAATTGCTTCCTTATGATGCTGTCAATATCAGGGTCCTCATCCCACTGACTTGTTAGTTCTGGATAGACGTCACTTGCTTTCAGCTTACACGTTGGCTTGTCAAACCTGATCAAGCTCTCTGTAAATTTCAAAGCAGTCAAAGGCACCTGAAGTTCATTACTTGAGTCCTCGTACAAGTATGCGCCATCCTTTTGGACCTCATGCTTAAGAGGTACTGCGCAATAATTGATAATCCCCCAACTATCCAAAAATTTTACAATGCCAACTAAATCTTCATTATCAGTATCAGCCACTAGTCCTTGGCAGTCAGCAACTGACAGGTGCTTTTGAGGGTTCTCCATATACTTGGCAACAATGAAATTCCGACATTCCATATATTTTTCAGGAGTGTGCTCTGGTCGCTTCCCAAAGAAGAAGTGTGGCACCACTTGTCTCTCCAATCTATGCACTGAGTTTGGTGAAAACCAATCTGTTTATACCAAACAGAAACCATCAAATCCAAGAGCATGGTTACTTAAAGAGTATATATATATTGCAGGTGAAGAATGGATCTAAGAAAAAAAAATTGGAAAACAAACTAGAATATGCTTCAAAAACTTCTGTTCTGTGCTACGCATTTCAATATGCAACTTTCTAAATAAATCAAACAATGCATTTTGATAATAAAACTTAACCATTACCATCTACATATTGCTCAAAAGGAAATATATGTTTCTATGTTCAGTTTGTCAATGAACCAGTTCAAGTTCGAGCTTGTTTTTCAAGTTTGAAGCACAAGCATTTGACTCAATTCAGGTAGTTTACAATTCAAACTAAAATTGGGAAAAATCAATGGAGAAGAATGAAAAAACTCAATTAGCACCACAAACGTTACAGACACCCGAGAAGGAAATTGAACTCGACCTGAATGTACTGGCACAACATGCACACGGCCCGCACTTCCAATCCTTTTAATTATGCCACTTCCAGAAATTATCCTCGGTGGCTTTATCACATAAGAACCATTGTCGCTACCACTTGCCGACTCATCCAGTGGAGGTCCCAGAAGAGCTGGACTATCACGCGGCACGGCAGAAAGTGCCTGCAGCTGCCCATGAGAAATATTCTCCAACAAAGGCACCCCACTTTGCACCTGGCCTCTGTTATCCACAATCCGTGCGGCCCTCTCCGCTTCCACAATCTGAAAGACGGATGAGTGGGGCCTACTTACCTGTCTCTGGATTACAACTGGAAACTCACATATTCTTGATCCACCACCAACCAAGTTTTCACCGTCTTTCTCACCCATCAGCTGGGATGCTCGATCCACTCTGTGATCCGGGAGATCATCTTCGGCTTCCGGGTTGTGTGGTGGGTCCAAATCAAGGTCCTCGTCATCATCGTTATCCTCAAACGCATCGTCATTTTCCAGTTCTTTCAGTTTAGATTTACGTGCAGCTGCGTAATCTGTTTTCCGCTTCTTCCACCTAGCTCTAGCCTCTTAACAATACCGATATAGAACCAAGAAGAGAATAAAACATCTGAATTCAGTCATTTGATCATACTCATCACAAAAATCATACTCATCACAAAAGTATTTGAAAATTAAAAAAAAAAAAAAAAA